AAATTTCACCAGACATTAAAAACATTTCACTAAATGCAAAAAAAATAAATTGCAATATGTAGAATTGCATGACAATGCAATATTTTTATAAATAAATAAATAAATAAAATATATATTTTTTAAATATCAAAAAATAGTAAAAATGGACTAAAACCATGTTATATTTTTGTTGCTGTAGCTGAGAGAACTCCCATGATTCCCCGCTAGCCTCAACGTCATCTTTTTCTATTGTTTTGATTGAAAGTCCCCTGGTGGGACTACATACTGTATCTTTAAGGAACAGCAAAGACATTTAAATTAAAAACTTAATAATATAACATGAAACATCAAAAACATTAAACTCTTTTAGTTTTCTTCCTCCCTGACAACTTCCTCCAACATGTGAGTTCAGTCCAATCACAAACGAGGACAGTCCTACCCTTTCTGGTTTTCTAAGATACGGTGAAGAAGGTGAATTATTGTTTGCAGAAGGCGAGACTTTTAGTAGAATCATTTTTGCAGAAGATGAATATGTTTTTCGTTGAAGTTAGTGAAATGTTTTTGATATTCACAAAATATTTTAAAGTTGTTTTTTTAATGTATTTGTGTTTCATTGAATATTTATGCATTAAGTGGGAAGTTTCTGTGTCTGGTGGGTTGGTTAAAGTAAAAAAAGTTCATCTTCATACTACAAGTGTTGCTGGAGCTTTTAGACCTCTTCAAGCTCTCTCTCCATGCACCCGGTAGTTGGTGATGAAGTTGTGCCAGAAAACCCTACTCTGTTTTTTCTGTCTGGTAAAACGTGTTTTTTTTTGTTTTTTTTTTGCAATCATTAAATATTTCTGCAGCCACCGTGTAGGATAGTTCATGATTTTTTCACAGGCACTAAAAAATGTAACTTTGTGATTAAAACAAGATTACTTTGGACTCTGATATTTTTTCCTACAATGATGACATAAACCCTTTCTATAGAAACCTACAGAGGCCTATATTGCTTTCTCGTGTATGTTATTGTGAGTGTACTTAGATGCTATAGGGTGAAATTGCTCCGTCTCCGATGTACTGCCACATTAAACCCCGCCCACGTGTCACAATCGGCATGTTTAATTTAGAGGTCGCCTCGCGCTCTGCCGTGAGTGCATTTTAGGGTCGCTGCTAAATGACAGATTACTCACATTTGTGTGAGCCTATGTAATCCGATTCCGCTCCAGTTCATTCTGTGCAAATCTCATGTCGTCATAGTGAAGCTGCCTACTGTAGGAGCGCTTCACAGCCCCGCGCAGGCCCGACCAATCAACCGCAGAGTCATCCTACACACACACACACACACACGCACACGCACACGCACGCACACACACACACACACACACACACACACACACACACACACGCACTTTGCACGGCTGAGAATGATGTCAACAGCTGTTTGAACGGCAGCGTAACAGAGCCTTAACATTAACGTGTCATTTATTATTTATAAGTTATTTTTTTATGCACGTCATATTTAAATACGTCATCCTTATTAGTAGTGACTGAACTAAAATAAAATCACATCCTAGAATTTTAATATTAGTGTAAACTTTCAATAAAAATACAAAGAAAACGATGAACTCATGTAATCATGTAAAAAATGCACAGAAAGAAGGAAAATATTAGATTTTCTTCTCAATACTTATAAACAAATGACAATCATGTTGGCTAAAACAGTCTAATGAACTTTGAATCCATGGTCACCAGCCTCTTTAATACGTCTGTGTTAAAAAATGTGTCATTTTTGACTTATATGAGAGCTCCAGTATCAGCATGTCCACTTTTATTTATTCAGTAATGAACATTAACATGTAAATATGTCTTGTCAATATATTTCTATCTGTACTCCCTTGGCAGGTTGGTGGTACCCCCGTTAACATATAACCCCAATGACAAGCAAAAACCAAATAACATAAACTTTAAATTAATAGACAGAAACACATTTCTACAAACATCATCATCATCATCATCATCATCATCATCTTCTTCTTCTTCTTTATTGGCTGACTCAGGAGTCCATCAGAAAACATATAAAAAGCAAACATAATAAAAACACAGGGTAAAAAAACAAACAGACAAAACATCACCAATGCCATAAAAGACAGCTGTACCAGTGTACCAGCCACAAGGCTGACTGGTATCCCACAGAACTATGACTGGGATTTATCAACAGCATAGTAATGAAATTCAATCAGCAGATACATTTGTACATAAAGTTTCCCATAAGAGACTCTCCTGTCCACCGAGGTTTTTGAAAAAGTATTCTCATGGAGTCATCACATGAAACTTTAAGCTTTTGTAATCAAAAGTGGCTTTGCCGTGTCGTTCAAAACAAACCAGGATGAAGTGACCTTCAGAGTTAGAGTGCTTAAAGTGCAGCTACGGGGTTGCAAAGTGCCGCCACAATATTCAGGTAAAACGGGCCAAAAGTGACTTCATATGAAATCATTTTAATTTTTAACAGCAAATAAAAAAACTATTTTCTAGAATGTGCAAAAGTAACAAAACTGTACACACACTGTTTACATAACAAATATTTCAATTAAAAATAGATTTTAAAATGAACGGATCATGTTGTGCATGCTTCTCTGTGTTGGTGTCTTTGTTTCATGTGTGAACAATTGTCAAATACATTATTTAATTCAAAATCTTTGAGGAAAAACTCAAAACATCAAAATAAACAAAGCCAGCCACAATGTTGCTGATGCACCTTTGCAAAGGGGTCTTTGTAATATTCTAAGTCTTTGCTAAAAAGCAAACGTTTGATGTCAGCTCTCTCTTTATTATCTCTTATTGACATCACCTTCACTCTGTCCTTTCTCCACTGAATGTACTCTTCTGTGCTTTGTCTCTTTCACTCTCTGCTTTCTCTCTTTATTCCCTCCTTGGCCTGTCCTCATGCTAAACTGTCTTTTTTGTAAGGATTAACCTATTAACATTCTGCATGAATACACATTACATTGAGACTAATAAACTTATTCTGCAGCTATGAATCCTGTGTAAGAGTGTAGACTGAAGAAGCCCATTTTTTACTCAAATGCACCAGTGTCTATTACTTTTTCTTCTTCTGATTTTAAACTTTTTATTCAAAAGAGGCGGCTAAATATCTGATCATAAATGTTTTGTTTAGTTGGTAAACTTCCCATCTCTATCTGACTCATGAGGAGTAAATGATTTTTGGCTATAGGCTATGCAATGCTTACTTTCTGCACAATCTCCTTCCTTCACATCATGTTACACTTTGCCCCGCCCACCTCAGCATCCTCAGGCCAATAAAAAAAACAACTATTGTTTATTGTCATTTAGTTTTAAAGCAACCATTTATGATCGGTCATTTGCAGATTGGCAGACAGAGGCGCTGCTTGTGTAAAGGCAGGGTAAGCAAGCGCTTGGGGCCCCAGACCAGTAGGGGGCCCCTTAAAGGCTGACAAACTTAAAACAATGCAACGGCCCAAAGCGACCGTAGGAATCCTCCCTAAAGGGGCACCATCTGACAGCACTCAGTCTTGTTGCCCTGCTAAGCGTCACATTCATGATTGCTGTGAAGATGGTCAATGAAAGTCAACAAAGAAAGATGAGGAGGAATTATCCGTCTAGAGGAGAGAAAAAAGAAAGAGGAAGAAAGAGGAAGAGCGTCAGGACACTGGCAGACATGTTGGTCATGAACGCCGGATGGAGGGCCCCCCAAATGATTTTTGCCTATAGGGCCCCAACAGACCCTAGAATCACCACTGTTGGCAGAGAAATGATGCTCCAACCTTCTCCTGCACATCTTACCTGACGGCCAATTCAAGCTGACTTCACCCCCTGAGTAAAAAAAGGTTAGTAAAGCTGTTTTTAAAGACCTTAAAGTATCGTTGATGCACTTCCTCTCTCTGGTCTGTGTTTCATGTTTTAATGTTATTTTTTAATTGCCAAATCGTCGTTTTTTTTATCAGATACTTTTTGAATCTATCTCTCTTATCATCCTCTTAACCTTCTTCTAGTGTTTTACTCTTCTGTTGCTCTTCTATATTTACCAGCTTACTTTTATTAACACTTTTTATCTTCATTTTTGTTTTTTTATTACCTGTGTTGTGATGTTGTCTTTTTTATTTTCTATATTATTGTCATCATCATGTTAACTTTTATCTTGGATTTTCATTAATTGTATTGCTTTATAGCTCAAACTGCCTTGTGAGACCTGCTTCTTGTATCTTTTCTTGTTCTTGTTTTTTGCATTTATATTACAATGGTTGACTTCTCTCTGTTTGTTTAATGTGTTGTAGTCCTGACTTCCTGTCACCTAAAGGTGCTATATTAGGGCTGGGAATCTTTGGGTGTCTATACGATTCAATTCGATTGTGATTCTTGGGTCAGGATTCGATTCAGAATTCATTTTTGATTCAAAATGTTCCTGATTTCATGGATCCATGGATTCAAAGTTTATTTTTGTGGCATTTTACTTAGTTAAAGAGCTAGCCTTAGCACTTCGCAGGGAGTGCCCCCCCCCAAAAAAATAAATAAATAAATTTAAAAAAATAAATAAATAATAATAATAATAATAAACTCAATTTTTGGAAGTTATGAATCGATTTTAAATCTTAGAAGACAATAATCTCGATTTTTACATGAATCGAGTTTTCCCCATCTCTATGCTATATAAATACAGTTATTATTATTATGATTAAATATGAAATATTCTTTCATTCTTGTCTTTTAAATGTTTTCCTGATGCTAAATTACTAAAATAACAACGTAGTGGTAATCCTCTTTTTATCCTTATCTTTATTTCTTCAGGTTATAATGTCGTTTCTTCACCTTTCTTTTTTCAACAGAGTCACTGAATGTAAATACTAAAGGCACTAATAGATTCTTATTCATATTTGAGTCATTGTTTTTGGAGACCACAGTGATGCATCTGCTCGGTGCCTGCATCGACTCTCTCGGCACTCGACTCTCTCACTGTACAACCAAACTCGCTGCGCTCTGACCACTGCAACTTTTGCACAGACTCCTCACTCCACAGACATGTCGCACAATAGCTGAAGTAAACCTGTCATCGCGGCTCGTCCTCCCGAGCCTCCAGAATAAAGAGAAAAGAGAAGGTCTCTCAGGGTCGGATCGGAGCTGCAGCCTCTCCTCGGTCGCTCCTCTCGCATCGGACTCTACGTTTTGCAAAACGCTTGGATATGAATTATGAGCATTTTCCTCACTAATGAACCGGGCCAGTAATGCAGGAGACCGCGGCGACTCTCTCATCACTGTTTCAAGATGGCAGATTTTCATTGAGTTTTGAGCAGAAATCTCGCTTCATTTTTTGCCATGAATAACAGAAATCCTTGCACCGATGGCCCCTGTATACGAAGGTAAGATGCTTTTAAATATCTGCTGTTTTCCCTTCTTCTTCTTCTTCTTCTTCTGCCGTGCACTGAGTCGACTGTATCACTGTGAAACCAGTGAACTGCGGCTGCTCCGGAGGCAGAGATGCGGTGCTCCCTCTGCTCTTTTGCTCTAAATCATTTAACACATATTTACATTATAATTCTTTTTTAAACCTAAAACAAGTGTGCTGTGAAATAACCTGCGGCTGTGTGCTTTCGAAGCTGCTAAACGCAGTTGGAGGATAATAGTAAATATCCTACTGAGTCAGATTGTGCTGCCAGTCTGAGCTGTGTCTGTTAAAACAGCGCTGATGAGGCTAATGAATAAGGTCAAAGACACGCATGCAAGTGTTCAACATACAGTAGTCCACATACAGACACGATATTTCTGTTCCTGGTATTCAAAAAATCTGGTTTTAAAAAAGGAGAGAGAATGTCGGTCACCGATCGGTCCGCCTTTATTTACTCTCATTCTTCCTTTATATCTCCATTTCTCCAACACACATCGTCAAACTCACAGACTCACAAATGTGTTATTGCTCTGAGAATTCACTCAAATGTTTTTCTTTTCCTTCCGGAGTCCAAAAGCGAGCTTAAAAGCTAACATATATTCGCTATGGCTGCAGCATTGTGGCTGTGACTAATCCAAATGCGAGGTTGCTACCCCGCGTGCTTCTCTGGATTGTTTTCTGTCATTCAGATTCTTGATAAAATAACAACAATCTAACATTTGAACAGTGTCTTTACACAAGGTAGGTTAAAAGCTGCACATTAATACCGGTGATCATCAGTGGTTTGTATCTGGTCCCGCTGCAACCACACACACACACACACACACACACACACACACACACACACACACTCTGCCAACAGATTAAATACTCTGATCAAACAGGGACTTCAGTATTATGCATTTGCATGCAGTCTCATGATTAAATCCAGCTGTAGTAATGCAACATGCAGAGGCACTGCAGCCTGCTGAAAATGCTGCTTTGGCTGATAATCCCTAACAATATATTTGAAGAGATTATCAGGGGTTTACATGCTGATAAAAGAGCTCGTGTAAAGTTAATAGCTTAAAACAAATGTTGACCTGTGACGTTTAAAGTATTTATTTTTGAGAAACACCATATTTAACATCTTCTCGTGTACTCCATAGTCCCTCTGCTGGTGTCAAAGGGAACCCCCCTCGTTTCTACTCAGATCACTATTTACAAAAAGAACTATTGGAAAGTAAGACATTACATGTTTGAATGTGGCCAATGCAAATATGAGGAGAAAAAGTGGGAACATTCAGGTGGTTTAAAAGGCGTCTACATGCTGCATTCAGGGTGCTATAAACTCCTCGCTGTGCCTTCATGTCACTGGAGGAATATTGTAGTGATTTTTCATCAGGGGGTGTTGAAGCTTAGAGGCATAGCCCGAGACGACGTCGCTTCAACATGAAAAGAAAAGTTGAAATGAGACTCCTATGCAAAAGGTAATTAGTGTAAATTACATTCCCCGGCTTTTCCCTTCACCACCGAGAGATGGAGAGGGAAGAGAAAGAGGCGGCAGGGGGAATTAATTACCCCCGCCTGTCCTCCTCAGTGTTGGAGAGTGCTGTTATGTAGAGCAGTCATGGAAATGACCAAAGTCTCCAGTGGAAAATAGTTTTTTTTGGGAGGTGAGGGGGGGGTGGGGGGTAGGGGGTCTTTTACGTAGACTTAGACAGGCTATTATGGTGATTACTCACCCCTCGGCTACAGAGAAAGTAATAACTAAAATCTTTAAGATTAACTTCTTCCTTTGATCATTTCATGTTGAGCTGGTTGAGGGAAAACAGAAGACATTTGTTTTTTTTGTTTGCTGAACTTCATTAAACATCATAATCATTTAAGAGGAATTATTAGTTTAATCAGAGCTGATACTTTGAGGAATGTTTTATAAAGCTCACATTGTTGTTGGCACTTGAGTGGATTTCTGTCCATGTTCCTGTCAGTTTTGCCTTTTTCCCTCTTTCTTTTTCTTTTTTTTATGTGTTTGCCTTTGGTCCGTCTTGGCTCAGACAGAAGGCCATCAGGCGGGCTTGCTGGCAGGCTGGGCAGCGCTCTGATCACCCTGGGAGCTCGGCCTCATAACGCAAACTGACACCTTGATGGATGTCTGATGATCGGAGCAGGTCCAGCAGCCTCCAGCTGTGGAAAAGCTAATATTCAGAAACGGCCAAAGCCTGCCCTGCTATACTGCTTTCTCCCCCCCAGCTGAGATGAACGTTGTTATGAGCTCATGCCTGCATGTGTGCATGTGTTCATGTGTCTCTATCTGTGTACGAGTTGCACACATGTGCCATCTCCCATTTGTAGAGCAGGCCTGTGAGAGGATTAGACAGCTGCAGAGCTGGGCACCAGGCAGGAGGGCGACTTCACTGTGGATCACAGGTCAACCAAATGATTCCAGAGAGGATTCATTCACTCCTGCCTGGAAATAAAAAAGGACAGAGTATGACTCAGAGGCTGCTGCTGCTGCTGCTGATGTTGGTGATAGGCGCAGCTGCATCAGAGGCAGATTAATGTTTTATCCGTCAGCACGGCCTTTATGCGTTAATGTGACTGAATTACCTCTGGGTCTGCAGGTACAGGTTATGCACCCTGCCGTTGGTCTCTGGGGACAGAGAGGGATCCAGACTTTCTCACAAACTGCCCTCTCTGACTCCCTCCGCTTCCCCCCACGCTTGTTTGGAGCTGCTTGATTGATATCTTCCTCACAGGCCACGGCCCAGGCTTAGAGTCCAAGGTTGCAGCCTTTAAAAAACTTGGATTAGAATTGCAGGAAGAACCCCGGGGGCCTTTAGGGGGCCACAGCGGGGGCCGCACCCTGTGGCAGAGTCAGGGGAACCGAGGAGGGTCTCTTTACTTCCTGACTGTTATGACAGGCAGAGTGGTGTGTTTAGCTCTTCACTGTCCATCCTGGAGACAGAGGAAGGCCCCGGCGAGGGAGGAGGGAGGAGAGCTAACGGCTGATGGTTAAATAGCTCGCAGGGAAAAACAGTCATCACTCCACAAATCTGTGTAGGTGCCTCTCTGAATGTTTATCTCTTGTTTTTTTCACTTTCACTCAGCAGCCGTTTTTGATCTGTTTTGTTGACCTGATGCATAACCTCATGACTTGTTTGGAAGGCGCTTTGCTCAGAACGGGTTATGAAAATGGATAAGCTGTCTTTACAAGTATCGCTTTTGCATTATTCAAAGCTTCTCATCTGAAAAGGAAGTGAAATCCAGTGTTCGGGGGATTCTTTTGCTATTGATTTGTTGAAGCGTTTAGTTGAGGAAGCCGAGGCTTTGGAGGGAGATAGAATGTGAGTTTTATGTGAGGTGTGTGTGTGCAGCTCTGGGTTAAAGACTGGGGAATATGCGAGCTCTCTGATGTTCTGAAATAGTTCACAGGTGTGATCTGAGGGTTTTAGAAACAGATGGGGAGGGTAACGTCAGCCTGAACTGAAATGACAGGTTAGTGGAGGCCAGTCTGACGCAGGAGGCCCAGCCTTGAATATGAGCAGATACCTCTGGCTATTTCAACAGGCTTAACTTTTCATATACTCTCTTCAGCAAATTTCTCCTGAGTAAAACTGCCTTCAGCACCCCAGCACATCATTCTTCTGCCTGTTTTTTTTTTTTTTTTAGGATGTTCAGTGGAGATGCAACGGGACTTTGCAATTCTCATTTTCTCTACTGTCAGCGAGCCTCCTGTTTTTAGTGCTTGTGCCATATGTTTCAGACCTCTGTGTGAAAGGACTCTGAGAGGTCCGGGTCTGAGGTCCTTGAAGCGGGAGACCACATCAGTTGCTGACATTAGTCGTTTTTTATCGAAGGGGAAAGGGGGGAAGGCAGGGGGGGCTGCAATGGAGGGAGCCTCAGCCCTGCCGACTGCTTACACAAGGCATTTCCGTGTTGGTTGTCATGCATGTGTGAAGGCCTTCTTCCCTCCCTGCACTGTTGTTTCTCACTGTGTGTGGTGTCGGCCTGTGTGGAACAGCTGCCTGTGGCTCTGACTAGCAGTTAAACGACTCCAGGCTCTGCTGAAGAGGAAACTGGTGGAACAGGCATCAGTTATACTTACTCGCCTGTTACATAAAAGTTAAAAAGCTTTTTATTTATAGAAGTTAAAAAAAATCTGCCTGTAACAGCTTGAAAGATTATTTTATTTGGTGGAATAAAACACATCACAGTGCACCTGATTGCTGGTTTAAATAGTTTAAACTCACATAACATGTGGCTTTTTAATTATTTGGAGACTTACATGCACTCCTTAATATTCCCAGAATATTTCAGCACGGCCTGCCTCTGACATTTTTTAAAGTTGTTATTCACATACGTGCCTCACAGTGTTTTTTTTGCCTCTATATCAATGCTACTTATATTTGACTTATCCACTGCATAAACCAAAAAAAGCGGAGAATAATAGACGGGCAAAAAAAGACTATGTGTAACATAATTATGTAAACAAAGATTGCACTGGTTGCATGAAAGCTGCAACCTCAAGCATGCTGGAGTGCAATAAACTGCAGTCCCTCAAAGTGTCCACTCGGGGCTCGCTGCAAAAGCCCAGGGAGCTTAATATATCCATTTAGACAGCAGTAACAAACGTATTTACAGTCTTGTACAAACAACGACTTTGGTCTGAATAGTACATGTCTTTATTGGCACACATTGTACAGGGGTTGAATTCTTTTACAACTCATCTGTTTTGGTTTTATTAAGGACAAATTGTGCATAAATGGGTGCATGAGCGATCTATCTACAAGCAGGTGACTTAAGGCTGTTTGTCAGGAGGCTTTAGGTTCACCGCCGCTCCAGCTCTTTGCCCGTTTCAGGGTTGACTGAGAGTTCGTTTGAGACAGCATTTCCAATATGGTGACTGCCATCGTTGGGCTTCAAAATTCACCTTCAGTAACCATTCGGGTACGTCCATGAGACTACAGTACGTTCATGTTTCATACATTCTAT